TCCTCCTCCTCCTCAAAGCTCTAAGCCATTATATCCATCGTTAACTCAATTTAATAAGGTAGAGATAGAAGATGCAGATTTCACTACAGATACTGATATTAAGGAAGAGGATAAACATTTATATCATATTGATAATAATGATGAATTGTCTGTGTTTGGTCCAGGACTTGAGGTATATTTAACTTAAAAAAGAGATAATGAAAGTAAAAAATTCTAGTAATCCATATCTGGAGTCCTGTTAAGCTTACTGTTCCATCATCTCCTCCATAGCCTCATCCCGTTAAAACACCACAAGTCTATAGAATTCAACAGGAATTTAACAAGCTCAGGCTGAAGGGACTGTAAACGTATTTATATTCCCAATGATGGTTAGATAACATGATAGTTCTGGACTAGTTAATGCTAGTTATGTTCCTGATCCTTTTAAATTGTTAAAAAAATCAAAAATGGCACTTATAAATGGTAAAGTTCAAGCTACCTACGCAGTTGAAATAACCAGAAGTCTAGTGGAAGGTGAAAGAATGCTTCCTAATGATTGGCATACACTTACACAAACTGGGTTATCACCTGGTCATTATTTACAATTCAGAACTAGGTGGGGGGAAAAGGTCTGTTTACCTAATTTAGAATGTGTTGTTCAAGAGTGTAAAAAATTTCATATCCATACAGCTTCATTAAAAATAGTATCAGTTAACTTGAAAATAAGTGAGGAAAATAATTCAAAGACGGGAAATTCGTTATCCACCTAATTCAAAATTTGTCCATCTGAGAGCTAATCCTCGGAGACAATTTCCTAATCAATTATGGCAAACAAATATTACTCATATTCCATCTTTCACCAAACTTTCTTTTGTATATGTTACTGAAGATACTTATTATGGGATTATATGAACTACAACGATGGCTGGGGAAAGCTCTATATGTGTTAAGAAACATTCGGTTTTTTTACAAACTTTTGCAGTAATGGGCATTCCAGAAAGTATAAAAATGATAATGGATAGAGGTTGTAGTTTTTGTTGTTGCTGTTGTTGTTGTTGTTGTTGTTGTTGTTGCTGTTGTTATGTGCCGTCGAGTCGCTTGCGACTCGTAGCAACCCTATGTACAACAGCCCTAAACTTTGCTCTATCTGGGCCAATCGCACTGTCTCTGACACTCCCATCCCAATTATCCCAGTCACTGAATCAATCCACCTCATAGAGGGCCTTCCCCTCCTGC